ATGAATAATTCAAGTGTGGTTTAAGGCTGCGACCAATGCTTTTAGCATTTGAGTATTCTGTTTTTCATGTTTGCAGGGAATCTTTGCAGTAATCCGTCAGATTTTACGAGCAGATTTGTCTGAACAGGAGTTACGTGAAGTGTCGGAAATAGTATTTGACATGATGCCTGTGAGTTATTCAGTTTGGTTCATTGAATTCCAATTGTATTTTTCCTCATGTTTCAAATTTTTAGCGGTTAGTTCGCATGAATCCTGAAGAATGTGCTCATCTTGTGATTGACTGTTTCCCTGATTACATCGCTTCAATCAGACCGCACACCGAAGAAAGAGACATGTGCTATCCGCTGTTGAAGGCTGCTTTCAAAATAAAGTACGATTACTTCAATGAAGAACACAATCTTGTAATTTACTGCACTAATCAGGCGGGAACGTCAGGAAACATTTTTGCAAACAGATGAGGATACCGAAGAGTTTCTTTTTGGAATAGTCTTTGAAGGTATAGTGAATGAACAGCTCGAGGAGTTAGACGATATCCTACAGGTGACTTTAATCTCTTGTTACCCTTACGAATACCTTTCTATGCAATAAATCAGGATTGGCTGCTTTATTGGTTACCTACCGGATCAAGAACAGATTTTTGCTTGAACATAGCAGCTGCAGCTGAGTGTGTGAAAAGCACGATACTGTTGATGGAGGCACGTGGTCTGCTGGACAATGCCTTCGAAGTGCTTTTTAAGCAAATTAATGGAAGCAAAAAAGATCAGCAACGATTTGGTAATATTGCTTCTCACATTTTTCAATGTAAATCAGTTGCGGATTTTAGTGTATTGGTTGGACAAAGGTTTAACATTCTGCAGCTCTCACTCCAATTCCTCTCAGTCAAGAGGATGGCTGCTGCGAATTATGCGAGCTGTTACGGGAGCAGCAATCGAAGAGAGTACTATAGGTCAGTGGACGCTTCTTTTTCTCTTTACAGGAAATGGCTTGAGCAAATTTGAAAGTGGTATACAAATGCACTGAAAATGACTTTTCTTTTACTTATTTGTTAAAAAATCAGTTCTCAGAAAAAATCGATTAAGCTTAGAGAATTCGCCTGTTGCGACGCAAAGGCCACGTCCGCTTTTGGACGACTTTTCCGTGCTTTTCGAGAAAATGTGGTTGCCACCACCTTGGAACATTTTTTTAAAAATTTGAATGAAACGTGATTATCCTCCGCGACAAATGCTTTAAAAACCAAGACGATGCCAAGAACGCCTTCAACGCTTTCATGGCCTCCAGAGAGCCGGGCTTCTACTCAA